TGACTGGGACGCGGCGCGGCGTTGGCACTTTCGGAGGTGAGGCCTGTGGGAAGCCTGAGGCCCGGCGCCGCCTCGCGGGGACTGGGGGCTGGCGCCTCTGGCTCTCCTTTGGGCATCTGGCCAGGAAGCGAAGGAGGCGCACGCTCCCGGACCACCCCGGAGCCCCGAAGCCACGGTGGGCCGCGGGCTCCGGAGCACCGCCCCAGGTGTTAAAATCGGTTTCTCGGCCCCCTTTTTAAACGCGACGGCCCCAAGGTAATTTTGTCACGGTGTGGGGAAGACGCAGGACAGACGGCGCACTGGGCTTCCTCCGGAGCCCCGTCGGGTCGGCCCGGTTGGCCACTTCCCATCCGGGTCCACAGGGACCAGGGAACAAGCGCTCCTTACCCAGGGAGGCCGAGCGGAGGAAGCCTCTCTTTGGGGATTGCCGGAAGTCCCTCTTCTCCTCCTCTGGGGGTGTGAGTTGTCGGTTTTCGTCGTCCTGGGAGGGCAGGCTGTGACAGAGAGCCGGGGCTCATCCCCGAGACCCGCACGGGCCACCCCGGGAAAGCCGAGCCCACCACTGCCGGGGGGGGGGGGCCGCCCTCCCGGACGCACGGACAGAAACACCCACGCCCAGCTACCTCGGGCGCGGCCCAGGCTGGCTTCAACCGCCCAGGCCACACCGTGCCCGGCCCCAGCCCGGCATTTCTGAGCTGAGGCGGCACAAAGCACACAGGAAGGTGGGAAAGGCCTAGGCCTCAGACTCAAGAACCAGCAAGGTCCCGATCTTTGCACACGCCCATGCTGTCTATCACCAGTCAGCCCTGCTACGCCTTCTGCTGGTTTTGCTTTTAGTTACTTTTCCATAGGGTTTCTTATGTTTTCATTTCATTCATTTATTTATCTTGTGAAAAGTCACGGTCAGCTGGGCGCCAGTGGCTCACGCCTGTCACCCCAGCTACTCAGGAGAGTGCGATCTGAAGATCACGGTTCAAAGCCAGCCCCGGGCAGGAAAGCGTCCATGAGGCTCTAACCTCCAATGAACCGCCAAGAAGCTAGAAAAGGAGCTGTGGCTCACGAGGTGGAGCGCTAGCCTTGAGAGGGTAAAGCAAGCTCAGGGACAGTGCCTAGGCCCTGAGTTCAAGCCCCAGGACAGGCACATGCGTGTGCGTGCGCACACCCAGAGCCCTGGTCGTAGCGGATCGACACATTCTGTGCAGGGAAGCTCAGCGGCCCTGGCTGGGCCCACGGCTCCCCCTTCGCCCCCCACCGCCTCCCACGCCCTCCTCCCTGCCCGGCCCACAGAACGCACATCTCGGTGGCCAGCAGGCTGGGCTCGCTGCCGTACTCCGCATCACGCGTCCGCAGGCGGTCGTAGGCCGCGTCCTGGGCGGCCTCCTCCTGGCCGGCCACGGCCAGCTGGCTGTCTCCAGAGCGACTCCTGCCCCACCCAAGACGGAGAAACCGATCAGGAACGGCGGGCCGCCTGCCCGGCCGCCCGGCTGGCCCTCCTCGGAACCACAGATGCACTGGGCTCTGAGGGGCGGGACCACACTGTGACCTGCAGGTCCTCAGCCTGGCCGCGCCTCAGTTTCCCACTCTGTGAAACTGGACGGGGTAGGGGCGCGGGACAGCCGGGCCGCCAGCCCCCCTGCCCCCTCTCCCGGGCCACACCTCCGCTCACCTCCCGGAGCGGAGCGTCCAGGCCGCGTCCTGCCCGGGGCTGGCGGGCGCCAGGGGGTCGCCGCCGTGGCTCTCCACCGTGCTCAGGGCGCCGGGGTGGCCGCCCGGGCGCGGGAGGAGGCCCAGCGCCGTGTTGTTGGCGTTGTTGATGTTGGCGTTGGAGCCTGCGGAGGAGTAGCTGCTGGGGGTGAACGTGGAGTCCACCAGCTTTTCGTGGGACGGGGACTCGGTGTCCCCCGGGGCGCCGGCGGTCTTGCTGATGTGCAGCGGGCGCTGCGCGGTGAAGGTCTGCGGGAAGGGGCTGCGGCTGTCGCTTGGGTAGTAGGCGGTGACGTGATTGCCAAACAGGCCGCCGGCCCTCTGCAGCAGGAGGGAGGGGTGGGTGGAGGAGAGGCCCCCGGTGTGGGGGGGCCTTCCCCGAGCGGGGGGGGGGCTGGCGTGGCCGGGCAGGCCCACGGGAAGCCGGCGGTGGGAGGGGGGGCTCCGACGGGCCACAGCCGGGGGGCGCCAGGGGCCGGGCCTACCCTGAAGATGTCATCCTCGGACGCGGCGGACACGGCCTCCTTCACGGCCTTGTCCAGCTCCTCCTCGGCCGTCAGGTCTCCGGAGATGGCCCGTCGGATCTCGGGCCCGATGTCGTGGAGGGTCCTCAAGCCGGCCTGGAACCAGGGGGGCGTGAGGACGGCCCCCGACCCCCAAGCCCCGAGGCCAGGCCTGGGCTCCAGAGGAGCAAGGGCGGGGACCTGGGTTACCATGGAAGGCCTGTGGCGGGCGCGGGCCGCCCAAGGCCGGGGAAGCAGGCGGACGGACGGATGGACAGCGAGCGCCCCGCCCCCTCGCCTCCCCGTCACCCCGCCTCACCTGCAGCGACAGCGCGTTCCGCTGCGAGGGCTTGCCCACTAGGCCCTGCTCCTTGCGCTTCTTGAACTTCCGGAAGTACTCCTGGATCAGGAAGGTGGCGTAGAACTTGCCAACGGTCACCTCGTCATCTGAGACACACACGGAGGGAAGAAGGGTCCGAGCAGGCCCGGCGGTCAGCTTCCTGACCGAACTGAGTCCCTCAACCTCTATCTTATTTATTTAATGGTTCATTTGTAATTGACTTAGGGGTGGTGGGGCTTGAACTCAGGGCCTGGGCGCTGTCCCCCAGCCTCTTTGTGCTCAAGGTGAGCGCTCTGCTCCTTGTAGGCCTCAGATTCCTTAGTTCAAGCAATCTCCGCACCCCCCCCAGCCTCCTGAGGGGCTGGTGTCTGTGAGGTGTCACCATGCTTGGCTGTACCCCTCCTCCCACAGAGAAAGGGGCTCTTTAAAATGATCTCCCTAGCCGGGCGCCGGTGCTCACACCTGTCATCCCAGCTACTCAGGAGGCTGAGACCTGAGGCTTGCGGTTCAAAGCCAGCCTGGACAGCAAAGTCTGTGAGACTCTCATCTCCAATGAACCACCAGAAAACTGAAAGTGGCGCTGTGGCTCAAGGAGTAGAGCGCTCGCCTTGAGCTGAAGAGCTGAGGGACAGCGCCCAGGCCCAGGGTTCAAGCCCCATGACAGACCTCCCCCAAAATCCCCCCACCCATCTCCTCCTGACTCTTACGCTCTTCCAGCCTCAGGTGGCAGGTTCCTCTGAGAAGCCCAGAGGAGGGCAGGCAAGGAGGGAGGGCAAGGGGCTGGAGGCCGAGGAGGGTGGGCTGGTGGATGAAGGGGGGAGGTGGGTGGTAGGATCCGTTAGGGAAACCGAGGCGCCAGTGAAGGCAATTCGGAAACCAGGTAGTTAAAAACAGAAGCGCCATCTGTGCTCCCAAGAAAAGCCACCATTCCTTCCCCAGAGAAGCACGCTCTCACCCCCAAGAATGAGCACGTGTCTGGCAGGATGGGGGCCTTCTGGAGAGAAATGCTCCCGACCCCAACACGTAGGCCCCCTCCAGGCCCCACCCCGACACGTACGCCCCCTCCAGGCCCCACCCCGACATGTAGGCCCCCTCCAGGCCCCACCCCGACACGTAGGCCCCCTCCAGGCCCCACTGCAGACGACAGAGGCTTTCCGTATCTCAAGGTGTTCGGACCAGGAAGAGGAGGCCCAACACCTGGAAACCAGAAAGCTCTCCCCAGAAAGCCATTAGAGCACAGATAAAACACCGAGCTTCAAATCACTTTACAGTCAAGCCCTCTGTCTCTAAATACCCGAGAGCCCAGGGACCCGTGAGCGCTCTACCACATGAGCCACAGCTCCACTTTTGGCTTTCTGGTGGTTCCTTGGAGATCAGAGTCTCACGGACTTTCCTGCCCGGGCTGGCTTTGAACCATGATCCTCAGATCTCAGGAGCCACCGGTACCCTGCTCTCTTTCCTCTTTTCTAGAGCAATTCCAGGACAACTGGAATGGGCTTCCCAGGACCCGATTTCCAACCCTAAGCCCCTGCCTCCGGCCTGTGTGGGCCACGCGGCCCTGGTCCCTCGACCCGCAGTGGGGTCTGGAGGAGGCAGGCTCCATGCTACCCGCTGGGAACCCAGGTCTCAGGGCCCAGGGAGTGGGGGAGGAGAAGACCCCACAGGCCCGGCTGGCCGGGGAACCGGGACCGTGGTGTGCGGCCGGCACTCACCGCCGGCAGGGGGCACCACCTGGTCCAGCAGCTTCATGCTGGTCCGCTTCCAGATCTTTTTGATGATGGCCCGCAGCTCCTCATTAGCTTGTTCTAGGTTCCCTGAGGAGAGGGAGGGAGGGAGGGTGGTTGACGCTGGCAGCCTCGGTCCCAGGGGTGGGTCCCGGGGGTGGGGCTTGGCCCCACAAATTCCCCCTCCGCCTCGCCTCGCAGGCTGACGCCTTGCAGGCTGACCACTGACCGGCTGACCACCCGGCCCAACCACCTGGGGCCAGCAGCAGGGAGGGGACGGAGGCAGCCTTGGGGTCAAGCCCACCTCTGCGGACGCAGACGCACCTCCCGACCGACCGCCGGCCAGCTCTCCCTTCCGCCCCGCAGCCCCGGGAGGGCTGGGCCTACCTTCGGTCTTGATCCTCAGGGCTGTTCGGACCAGGGCAAACAGGGTGGCGTTGAACATGACAGTGCCGTCGCTGTTCAAGGGCATGTTCATGGAGACCAGGCGCTGGCGGGAGGAAGAGATTACAGCAGGCCATCGCTTCTTTGTTCTTTTTTCTAGCAGTGCTGGGATTTGAACTCAGGGCCTCGGGCTTGCCAGACTGGGTGCTCTGCCACTTGATTTATGCATTCCCCCCTCCAATCCCTTTTTGTGTTGGCGATCTTTGAGAGAGGGCCTTGGTTTGTATCTTCCCTTTGTCTCTAGAAAGTCAGGCGTCCAGCCATTGTGGAAATGGCATCTCATGAGCTTTTAGGCCTGGACTGGCCTGGAGACAGGGTCCCCCTATCTCTGCCTCCTGGGTAGCTGGGGTTACAGGCTGAGTCCTGAGCCCTGCACCCTGCTGGTGGGGTTCCCCCCCGCTCCGCCCCAGGAGGAAGGCTGGGGACTCGGGGCTGGGAATCGTGGGCCAGCACCGCCTCCTCTTAACCTTTCCCACAGCCAACTCAGGCTGCTCGGCCCTCCAGC